TGAATTTGACCATCATTTCGGGGAGTGGTCGCTCATTCCAATACGCGTTTTATGCTTCATTGCCCCACGCAATCATTTGTTAATGACTTGTGTAATTAATCAATATTGAGTTTCTGTTTGTCAAATGCTAGTGTGCTTGTCAATTATGGAGGTACCGACTAAACTCTGGAGACTGTCAGCGGATTTATTTTTTCGGCAATGCTATGTATTTTATATTTTCAGAAAGCGTTTACTTAATATTCCACCATCTTAATTTGATTAAGGTTTTAACAAAACGATGATGATCTTTGGCCCTCCTCTGAATTCAGATTCATATTAAACAAGAAAGGAAGCAAACTTTGGAAAACCGAAGTTTATACACCGCTATTGTTATTACAAATTGACTATATTTCTATTTCTATATTACTAAAAACAATGAAGCTATGTCGAAGCTATATGATATTGTTGGCCGATTTTAACAAAATTGAAAGCGTAATTCCGAGATACTAAATAATTACTAAATCTCAAAGGAATAATGTATAAATAGAAAAACCTTCAAATAACATTTTTTATTCTTTTTTTATCGTACATATATCGTATAGCTCCCATCAGAACAATCGGAAAAAAATTCAAAAAAAATTATAACTTTGTTTTTTAATTATTATTTTTTGTTCTTTGGGATTTGGTAATATTTAAATATTATGTTAATTATATTAATTAAATTAAAATCGGACAACAATAACATAAAGCTGCCATAGAAACGATGGCAAATTGCAGCGCAAAATCGACATAGCATTATTGTTTTTAGTAATATAGACATAGAATTCGAAATGTAGTAGATTTGTAACAACTCGAAGGGTATATAAACTTCGACTTGCCGAAGTTTGCTTTCTTTCTTGTTTTATATATGAAAGTTTATTGCGCCATGCGAAGAACCGCGGACGGATATGTTCTGTTCTCAGCGGAGGACATATACAAAATGTAAGTTTGTTTAGAAAGATAATATACTTACTTTTCAGAATTATAAAAATAATGTATCTATAGAAATATTGGTCGCCCTATGGCCCTATTTTACCTTAACCTTAGTCATGTATATTAGAGAAAACCTCACCCAATTTTAATTCGATTTACGCAAAGCCGCACAATGTTTTTTACAATTTATGTAAGTAATTTGGTACCTATTTTATGTAAGCAAACTATGTTTGGGAATACCTTAAAGCTTAATTAAAAATTAAAGTATTTAAAGTATTTGCTTATATATTGCTCGCTTGTTTGACTAGTAAACTGTTTTTAAACCATTTTGGGCTTTGCTTAAATCTTGCGGTCATTTTGCATAGTTTGTTGACTTATTTCATTTTGCGAAGTTCCGCGTAGTAGATTTACACTTAATCTATAACATAAAAATGTAAAAAAAAATCGTTTGGCCCGTTTTCGAATTGAGTTTCTTAAAGTCTTGCTGTGCGATCCCCTTAGTTAAAGCGATACCTTCCGATCGGTATACCACTCCTTCCGATAGAGCACAGCAGTCTTTCGATTCTGCAGCTATATATAAAAAGTCCCCTCCTTACACTGTAAGAGACATTACTAAAAAAAAAACTTTTAAATAAGTAAACCACAATTTTATATTGTGAAATAAATTAAAATCTACCATAACAGTTACTTTTAGAAAAATAAAATAAAAGTCTATGTCGAAAATAAGAAAAGGAAAAAAGCGATGTAAAAAAGGCTATCTATAACGTGAAATCTTAGTTGGAAATAAATAGGACTGGACTCCACATTTTTATTCCGAATTCGTAGAAACTGTGCCTTTAGATTTTACTAATGATGTAGGATTTAGTGGACTAATCTGATCGGTTTTCGAACGTTATTATGTAATAAATGGATATGGACGATTGCAAATAACAAAGGTTTTATGTGCAAAAGAAAGGTCGAATTATTTTAAAAAGTAAATCGCTTTACACAAAATTAGTTTTAAATTATTTTTATTTAACTCTTATTTTACTTTTTACAAGGAAATGAAGAAACAGGGTAATTCTCCACATAAAACACCGAATTTTAGATTCGCCTGGTGGTGCTGGTGCTGAATATGTGAATGCGTAATACATTGTAAATTATAAATTATATTGTAAATTATATACAATGTAAATTATAAAAAATAAAAAAAAGGCACAAGACATGAATAACAAAATCAAAGAGGCAAACTTATTTTTGAGAGATTCTGAAGCTGAACTTTCCCCCACACAAAAAACATAATAGAACAGAAGTTGGTATAGACAATGTCTGCATATATTTTTATACATATGTACATATACATACATATGTGGGGCTGTCTATATGCATATCCTAATATCCTGTCATGCATTAGCGAATGTGTAAAAGCGAGAGTAGTCGCGTAGAAAAAAAAACCGAAAGAGAGTGAGTTTCGGAAAGGAGTTCCTTTTTCATTTTCTTCCCCCCTGACATGCGTGTTTTATTCATTTCTAGTTAAAAGTGTAAACGCAGACGCAAATTTTTCGTTTTAGACTCCTGCGTAAATATGTATGTATGTTCTTGTTGTATCTTCTTCTGCGAAATAAGACTTTATGTATACGATTACGACTATATTTTCCGAGTGTGAGAGGAAGTGCATTTATACCTTGGAAAATGTTCCAGATATATGAATGTACTACATATTTGTATATCTTTCTCCACCATTTTTATTGCAGCTTTCAAACACGGTATTGTTTAGAAAGCAATATCGGTCAACACTTTTTACAAAAACTATAACTAAATTTAAAAATCTGAAACAATTTTCCGACTTGCGATAAATTGTAATACCAATTTCGATATTAATATTGCAATTAATAATAAACCGTGTGTCCAAAAAGAAACTACATACATATGTACATATCTATATAGATTAAAAAAATAAAGGAAGCAAACTTCAGCAAGCCGAAGTTTATTATACCCTTGCAGTTATAACAAAACGACTGCATTTCGATTTCTATGCCTTTATTACTAAAAATAACTACTATATTTCAAAAGAATCTTTTAATAAATAGAAAAAACAGCTAAGAAAGACAACTTTTGGGAAAGTATCGAGCAGAAAACTTTAAAACTGAGGGACTAGTTTTCGTAAAAAAGGACGGACAGACGGACACGGTTAGATCGACTCTCCTGGTGATGCTGATCAAGAATATATATTCTTTATAGGGTCGGAAATGTCTGTACATATTCAGACAAGTTTATTAAAGACTTTTTAAAACCTTAAACTTGCAATAAATATAATATAATAAAAAATCTTCAATTGCTCTTAAATATATCTTCATGCCTAAATTAAAATCTATGGTATTGTTGTCGATCCGGCATGTTCCGAGTTATAAACCAACTAAATTTTAGAACTGACAGGCTAGCTTGCATAAAAACAGACGAATCGAATCACTTGGTGATGCTGATCAAGAATATACATATGTATGTACATATATAAAATAATAGCAGCAACCAGTTCACTTGCATTATATAAAATATTTTGGCGATACTACCAGCTAAATGTTTTGTTTTTAATTTGTTTTTATTGTAGATTTATGTCCATGTAGGCTCGAACATTCTACATCCACAAAGAAGAATTAGTTAATTTACAAAAATACTATATTTTCTAAAAAACTAACATTAGGATCTTATTTTGTGACTTCAGAAAATTAGGGCAAGGCAGAGTAATTTAAAATACCTACCGTAAAGTACACATTTGTTACGCAAGTCGTTTAGAAATGATCCGGCTTATTCAGACTATATACCTGCAATCTAAAAAAGTCTTTTGGGAACGTTTCATCCAAATTGTTTTAAAACTGGGGGACGGACAAGGCTAGATCGCCTCTACTATGGATTCTAATCAAGAATATATATACTTTATTGGGTCGGAAATTTCTCGTTAATTGCCAATTAAGAGAAAAGGTTAATTGTTCCCAGGGGAGCAGATCTGCCGTTTTAAATTATTACACTCTTTTAACAACAAATATAACGTATATGTGCTATTGGACGACTAAATTATATAATATATATGTAGATGGCATTGCCTGAAACCACTGTACCTCAAGTTCAACTTTTGTTTGTTAAATAAAAGGAAGTTATGATTATTTTTTTGATCGTTCTGCATATCCTGATCCGAACGGAAAGAAGATCAAATCAAACAAATTTACTACATTACCAATTTTACCTGCTTATGTGCCCAATGTGGAAAAAACCGTTTTGAAGTCGTCTTATTTGTCTACAGTTCTTTTTTAATGCTGATTATTTTTTTGAGAGCATAAAGTGTAACAGACCAACCAAACATCTTAATTATTGTTTGAACTGCCTCGATCATAAGTTTTTTTTCATAGCCTAATTTTTGTTCATGATAAATTAACAGATGTTTATGAAACAATAAATATATACATACACAAATGTATGCATATTTTACATTTTGAGTCTTAGAGATAATGTAGCACCCCAATTTTAAATGACTAAGCTGTGCAATATATATATATATAGTTTTTATATTAAAAAAGTCGCTGCGATTTCCAATACCAGTTAAATTATTATATATATTATTTCTCATTCTGCAGACAATGGGATGTGGAACATGCCCGTTCGGGAACCTTTTACATCCGTCGGCAGTAAGACAAAAATAATGAAAGATGATTGCTCAAGCTGCACCCACACAAAACAAAGGTAGGCACACACACACACACACACATGCACACGGACGAACAGAAATTAAAGGAGGAACAGAGAGGCTCACTGCGAGAGTATAAAGCACAGCACATTGGTACATTGTTTTATCACCTTAGCTTCCGTCTCGCTCTTTCGTAATTACCACTCTGCGTGGCAATAATTACCGCATTACGGAAATCTCGCAGAGACTCTCAGTCTCTCTCCAATATTTTCTTATACGCATGATTCGATTGCATTTCGTTTGGGGTTCGGCTTTCAGAACGGCTTAGCCAGAGAGCGCCGAAGAGCGGCAGTGAGAGCGCCGCGACATTAAACCACTGGACAAGTAAGCCAGCCTCGACTCAGTCGAAAAAAACCGTTGAATGAGTCAGATGCGGGTCGGATGGTGAGTTCTGAGTGCTCGGGGTTTCGATGTAGATCTCCATGACGATGTTTTTGCCGTTGGCGAGACTGTGACTGTGATTGTGGATGTGACTGTGACTATACGCTGGCTCATTGTGCATTGTGTACAATAAAATCGTAAAAAGTGAAACAAAAATAACAAAAAAGTGAAAAAGAGATGTAGAATATTTGTTACCACCTATGAATACCCAATCCTAAGGATAGTGATATCTGCTTACGAAGTGGGTGCGCGTCGTTATCGCGCGTCTACCTGAGTTCATTTCGCTCAGCATTCACACGCTTCGGATTGTGTTGTGCGCCGAACAGTGGAGTTCACAGAAAAATTGATAATTTACAAAACTCAAATAAAGTTGTGGTAGACAGTAGGAATTTGATGGCGGAGCGTGATCACCATTAATTAACCAAGAAGCATTGTCAATTCTCCTGCTGTCTGCATAAGCACAAATACATCCAGTCCGTTTCTGCTACATGGCGAAATTAAATCAAATCAAAAAAATATTGTATAGGTGCAAGGTAACATTGCAGTCCTGTGTACAAAACAATACACCCACCCTTATCTGTATGTCCTTGTGTGCCTAGCAACAACAACAACAACGCCACCGACAAAAGTAGAATTTCATTTCAATATTAGTAAAGGAGATGGCGAATCGTATCATATTAAAAAGTATCGAAGATACAAAACGGGGAATCCGTTCGGGGAAAGTTTTTTATTTTTAATTGCTTTACGGTACGAACCGAGTAGAGCCGAGTCAAACCGATCCGAGCCAAGGCAAGCCCAAGGAGGGTGTGCGAAAGGAAATTGAATGAAAGGAAAGGAAGGAGCTAAAAAGAGCTCGCCTCTGAAAGGGTGCTAGACTGCTGTTGGATGTTCTCTATGAATTGCTTTCAACGATTTAATGAGCACGTGGTCCACGAGAGTATATGCAAAAATGAGTGCCTCCTCTCTCTCAGGGTCTGCCTCTTTCTGTCTCTGTCACGACGGCTCTCCCCTCTCCGTCTGGCGCTTTGGACATTGAAACTCGGAAAGTACAGGACCAGAAGTTTTCACTTGTGACTCTGCCTGTGCGTGTGTGGAAATATGTGTAGAAAAAAGAGACAACTGTCTCGCTTGCGTTATAAGCAGCCAACTAGGAGTAAAAGTGTTGATATTAAAAATGCAAACACGCAAAAAGTTGGCAAATTAAATCGCAGGGCGTAACGCGCGCGTATACTCTCAACCATACAATCATACACTCACCCACACACATCATCCCACTTGCTCACTCGTTTCGCTCTTTTCCAGGCATACACATGCATATACAATTACCGCTTCGGCAAAAGTATGTGCACATGCAGATGTGCATACATTGTTGTATATGTACATACGTAGATAAATGTATATAAAAGCATAAGAATGAGCTATTTAAATTATTTCGCAGTCATTCGTCCAACCCTGTGTGAATATATGAACATACATGTGTGCAGATGAACAGACTTGCCAAGTTGTCGATAATCCTTTGATCTGCGAATATGAAAGCAAACATATTCACATGCGAGATGCAAAGTGGTACAAATAAGTAATCTACCATTTCCGATCGAATCCTTGCCGAAACCGGAACAACTTCTGTGCTCACAACTGGTAGCTTTAGGTCGATCACCTTTCCTCTGTCACTGGTCACGGCAATTAGACCCGCATACACCAGTGTATACACACATTCGTACACCAGCGTTTGGGCTCTTTCAAGCCATGCTGTTGCCTGCTGTTTTCTCCCTAACATCCTGTCTCGATATCCTTCCATGCCTATTTATTACCTGTCCGTGATGGCATCACACCAACGCAAATCAAAACCGCATCCATGGACTTGGTGTTGCTTGAAAACTGTATTTTGATTATGCATTTTGAAAATAGAGCCAAAATTAAAAGTTTTAAAATCATCTAAGGGGTTCATTAATACCGAATCAAAACTGGAATTTTAAAAACAAGAAGATTTTAACTGAAACAATTAAAAACCCAACAATTTAAACATTTATATTTATCTTAAGCAAGATCTGAAGCAACCTTCGGAAACCCGATGATTATATGTATAGCTGATAAAAAACTAGATATTCCTTAAAATGACTACATTTGGATTTTTGTTCGTATATGATTAAAAATGAGCATATGTCAATTTACATTTTTCGGTCGTTCCTATGGCAGATAATATGATATAGTAGTTTGAGTATACGACTCTCTTGGTGATGCTGAAGAATATATACTTTAAGGGATCGGAAATGTTTTCTTAACTACGTTTCCAACTCTTGATTGAAATTATACCACCCTGTGCAAAAATAAAAATACTATTTTCTCTATTCTTAGTTTTGTAAATGACATTGCTCATTTAAGAATGTGTAATTTATTTCGATTAATTTATACAAGTGTTAGAAGTTAATCTTTCGCTTGTCTATACGTTGTGATGGATGACCTACTATTACCTACTAAACAATTCTCTAGGTTTCGCAGACCAATGAATTAACTCGCCCACGTCTACAAGCCCTCGATTCAAAAGTTCCTATACAATGTAAGCCTAAGAATAAATCATAACATAGTACAAAACTATCGCCGCTAACTTAAAGAAATCAACAACCGAACCAGCTAAAAACCCTTCATACCCGAAGTCCAAACACATATGTCCAAAAAACAGCCAACTGAAATCGACCAAACTTTAAATGCCTTCTTCTGAAGGTCCAACGATCCAGTCAGCTGATAATGGATTCGACGGCTTTTAAGGACTTCAGGTGAGCACATAAGACTGAATTATTTTAAACCTGGAGTTATTTTAAGCCTGTTTTTATTATAAGAATTTTTTAATATTTGAAAAAAAATATTGTCTGATCAATTTTTTTTTAGGACTTTCGATTTTTGGTTAGTTGTTAGTTTTGGCCTCGCTGTATATAGAGTGAAATGTTGTGCGCAATGTTGCAGAATAGCTTTACATTACATTTTTCATTTATTATTGCAAATTTTGAGTAATGGTGAAATATTAGTTATCTCTGGAAAATGCACTTCCCGAATTTATTATATCTAAATTTAACAATGGCGGAAACAACTTTGGGTGCTTAAAAGCGTATTTTTAATAGTATATATATAAATACAGTCGAGTTGAGCCATTATTATCCGTATAAACGAAGAGCTCCAGGCAAGTATAAACAAAATTGTAAGCCTAACCATTTGAAAAAAAATTATATATTTTTTTAAGCCACACTTATTTTAAAACTGAGTATACATACAGTTCGTTCCCAATTAAAAATCACTATAAGGAACACTAATTGGTCATTAGTGCTATACAATTTACAATTTACCAAACCAATGCCTAGAGCGAAACCAAAAATCATAGTAAAGCCTATTTAATAATTGCATTCCAAATTATCTCAAAGCGCAATGAACTTCTTTATAATGTACTTTAAAAATTTTTGATGCATCCAAGAACATGCAAGACCTTATTACCTCCCAAAACAGTTGTAAAACCAATAGGGTATATTTTGACCCCATCACCAATTTTTCAAAGAAATGTTCTTCGTACAGAAAAAACAAAAAAAAAAATAAAAATGTTTTAGGCAATACACCGATTCTTTTGAATATATTTAGTTGTCCAATTCTATTAAATTAAAATGGACAGACTAACATGGCTTGATTTACTTGACAGATTTCAATCTATAATAGATTTTTTATTCCCCAAATTGTTGGCACTGCAGTCTCATTTGGTTTTTTTGGCGATTAAGATTGCTAGCGCTAACGTTATTGACTGTGCTAAACTTAATTCCTAGTAACTAGTGAAATAGGTGTTCGATTTTGAAAGATTTCGGTGTGAACATTTATATATACTGATGGTTAGATAGTGTTATATGGAATGGCTTCTTTGAACATTGCAATACCTCCGTTAAAAATTTACAATTGAAATTATAAACTAGAAGAGAATCAACTTTCGGCAAGCCGGATTTTGTATTCCCTTGCAGCTGTGTAAAGAGAACAATACTTTATTTCCTATCGACTCGGTTAGGAATTTCTTAAATATCGTCTTACAACAAAATAGAAACCTAAACTCGTCAAGCCGAAGTTTATACAATTTTCTATTACAAATATTTAAAATTAAAAAAAATGTGTTTCAAAAAACGTAGTTATGTCGATTTTGGTCATTTGCTATTTGATAAAGAACATTTTTGAAGAGAAATAATAATATTCTTTTGAAATGCAATATATTATCTTTATCTCGTTTTATATTCGTAATATAAAAAATAATAAAGCTTGTCGTTTTCTGTAAAATTGTTATAATTATTTTCGGATATTTCCAATGACAAGAAAGAAATTAAGAAATTCAAATTATAAAATGGTTGGATCTCAAAGCGTATCCGTATATTTTTAAATACTTCGAAGTTATAATTTTTCATTGATTTTCCGATTGTTCTTATGGTATAAATTTGAAACAATTCACCGAATTTTTTGAATTTAAAAAAAAATTTCTTAAAATAAAAAACCACTACATTTTTAAGAATAGGCAAAAAAAATTGTCACAGAATGTAAACCATTGTTACATGAACTCTAAACTTTTGGATATTTCAAATTTCTCAATGAGTATTTTTGATGAGTATTTATTTATTAACTTTGATAATATTAAAATAAAACTTTTGAAGTTATTATTTGTCTACTCACGAGTATAAGATATAAAGTTGAGTATAAGTTAAAATATTAAACTGAGCCTGGTTTATTTTGCATATTCTTAAGTACATATTAAATTCCATGTATGGTTTATATTTACATGTTAAACTATATTAGTGAAATGGTTGTTGACATTGCATACTATGTATTTTGTATTATACTTTTAATACTTCCTTTTTTTAAAGTATAAAAACCGCTCTTTACTTATTAATTGTATTTTACTTATATATTATTATAAATAAAAACAGAACGTATATTTCTTACACACCTAACAGTCAATATCTTGTTACTATTTTGTTTTTAATTATTTTGTTTTTAATTAATACTTACATATTTTAACAATATCAAAGAGTCGAAACAGGGAAGTTAATCTCAAATTGAAAGCTCTTACTTATTCAATTTTGTTTTATGTTTTACTATTTTATAACTCGACCTAACTTCATTGTTTTAAAAGATGTAGTATGTTAACTTCGACCTGGTAATGTTATTATTATGTTTTTGTTTAAAACTATTAAAATTCAAAATGAAGTAGAAATTAATAAAAGTTGACGTACTAATCTATGATACAAATAGAATACAAATCTTGCAAAATTCCTTAAGCGTATTTTAAATGTTCCTTTTAAAATGGTTTTTGTTTTTTATTTTCTATTAAAACACAGCGCCAATTAAAACACAGCGGTACGTTTTATCAAAACACCCTTTGGGCCTTGTTAATTACAAGCAGCCATCTAATTAGCCAATGACGATGGAGCTGCCTGAGTGAGGGAGAATGGGTACACTTGTCGCTTTTGGTTGGAGACTGAGGTTAGTTCAACGAACGATCCGAACTCTACCGAAATAAGCCGAACAGAGAAGAACAAAGCAGGCCAGAGCAGAGCAGAGAACCGAAATCCGTCTAGTAATTAAGCACAGACAAAGGCAATGATGACAACAGTGAAACGAACAGAGAGCTTAATACCCGGCTCTTTCGCTGTTAAATCTCAGACCATGCCGGCGCAGAAACGGTGGTATTACGGGGCAGGAACAGCTGAAACGGAACATAAAGAAGAGTAAAGCAACTGTGCGCGACAACCGCTAAAGCGCGACTTGATTGGTCGGTTGTCGCTTGCTAAAGTCGTCATCATCTCTGCTCTCCTCTCTGCTTCGTTTTATTTCTCCTTCTCGCAGTTTCTTTACTGTTTGTCAATTCTCCTCCACTCGTCCGCACCTGCCGCCCCAATCCTTTGTGGGTGTATTTGGTTCGCTGTTTGTGTTTTCCGTCATGTGTGGGTGGCTGGGTGGATGGTTCACAGAGTAGAGTTAATTGACGCCTTTCGAATCACACCCCATTCGTGTTGTCACTGGCTGGGAATCCGCATACGTGATTCGTTGCCGCCAACAGCGCACCACTACCCACCCACCTACCACTCCCGTTCCCACCCCTCCGACCAGGGGAAAGAAAGCCCATTCGGCTTGGCGAAATGTTAATTACTGGCCAACCAATTAAGCACTAACGATTGAATACCCGAACAGTGCCTCTCGTACGTTCTCGCTCTCTCCCTAGCACTTGCTGTGTTTTGTCTCGCCGCCACTCACACGCGAGAATACTCGAGCTTTGAATTATGTACATATGTACGGTACTGGTACTGGAATTCGTATATGTTCATACATCAATACATACATACATACATATACATAAATTGTGCGCTCGCATGGGAACCAATTAAATGAAAGTTTTGCCTGGTAAATGGGTAAATAAAGTAAAACATAAGCTCAAGCAAAGGATGGGTTTATACTTGGCCCCTACTAATTGCTACTTATATTATGTGCCTCGCACATACACTTGCATTCGGTCATTGTGTGGGTATCTAAACAACCATCATCCCTCAATCAGGACCTCAGTTCCTTCTTTACCCCGAGTGATTGCTTGTCCTCGCCAAGGATAAAGTCAAATTTCAAAGGAAAGACGAAAAAATCGATAATGACGAACAACGAAATTAAAATAAAAAAAATCCTACGGAATCACAATAAACAATAAATGAAAATTTCTACTTTCAAGAGATGTGTGTATGTACACTGTTGTACGTACATATATGTGTGCACATATATTTTGACTGCCCATGTAACATTTACAGACCGTGTCTGTGTGTTGGAGTGAATTTGCCTCTGTGTGGTTTGGTTGAATATGTCGGATATAAATCTGCTTGTGTGCATACAAATGTAAATGAGCTGAATGGGTGAATGGTGGCGATGGCTTGGGTCATATTAGAGGGTCTTTAGTAGACAGTACGGCCACCATATACATATACTTATGTATATAAGAGCGCAATTAAGACATACTTCGCAAAATGATTCAATTCATTCTTTACTTTCCAAATATTATGCATAAGGTAACTTTTCCATTTCAGCATTCCCTTATTTAATATATGAGTTTTTGGTAGGTAGGCCGTTACAAAATTATGCAATTTTTAAACAAAGCATATATAAAAAGTATTTTTTTAGCATAAAACCGTAAATACTTTCTCAAGTGAAGCAGTTAGAAGGTTGGGGTTGCTTATTCCTAAATGAGAAGTGAGTCGAAAAAGTGCAGGAATTAACATAAAAATACTTCAGAGCAGAGAAATTTTAAGACTAAATTGAAAGAGAGAGAGAGAGAGTACGAAAAAAACAACAGAAATGTGTGTTTCTCCTTGGAGTACCACGTTCGCGTAATTGTGTTCTTTATGCTCCATCTCCTTCTGGTACTCCATTTGCCCATAAGCGCCTCAGTCTCGTGTCTCTTTCGCTCGGCCCTGCACCCACACCCACACCTAAACCCTCACCTCACCCACAAGTCCAATTGCTGTGCTTTACTGCGTTGTTATAAGAGTCGACGGCGGCGGCGTCGACGACGACGCAACCCCGTTTAGAGAGGGCCGAAAATATGCAGAAAAGAGACACCATCATCTGCTGAGGCAGACGCTGAGATACTGGCGAAGCAGCGCATTATGTATAAATTATTTATTTACATTTACATTATATTTGGGGTGGGTGGGTGTTGGGGGGTGGTATTTGTTGGTAGTGGGGTGGGCGTAGCGATATTTCTCGAAGAACGAAGACGAAC